TGGAAACATTCCTCAGAGAGGCATTTCACCCAGAGAACTGCTGCTTTTATTCTCTATAAAACTCAGAGATGGTTGTGTGGGAAATATCCAGTAGGTCAGCAGTTTCATAAATACTACAACATTGAAAACTCACTCATATCACCTCTCTTCTTCATTTAGATGCTCAGTTTAAACTTAAACAGGCCGTCTTGATCATGTCTTTATGAACTGCTGGCATATGACTGGCTGATGTGATTAAGCGCTTGCATTAATGAGCAGCTGAACAAGTGTGTCTAACAAAGTGTGTGTGTACATATACAGTATCTCCAAAGTGACAGAGCTGTGTGTACACAAAGGGTATTTGGCTGATGGTATATCTAAACAATGAGGACATATAAGGATTTGCAGTTAAACTGTCGCACACAGATTCACATTTTAGACCAGGAGTTAAATCATTTGCTCCACAGCACTTATCCTCAGCCAGAGTCCCAAGCTTCATCACACCCTAGGTTTTCCTTTTTCTTTACCTAAAAGAGCCTGAAAATTTTAAACAATTTGTCTTTTAAAAAATTGTCCTGTCAGGTATTTTATCAAAGAGATTTTTCCATTTTGCAGTGACACAGCAGGATGTATTATCACACCAGGCGGCTGACGTTATATAACAATAAAAACACACTTTATGGTATATAGTTTATGATTACACATTACTTGTCAGTGTTTAGGAAATGAAGACTTAATAAAAAGATATCTGCTCTACAGTCAGCAGATTTGAACTATATATACTGTTAATTATTTACTAAAAATTGTTGGACATGCTAGGTGAATGTTTTACTCTCAAATAAACAGCAGCCTTTTTCTGACACCCCAGTAATATGAAATAAATCACTTCTCCAAATCAAAACACTTTACATGATGATGTTTAAAGTATTCCTCTGATTACTATTAAGATATTTCTCTCTGGCATTTTCTGTAGGTCACTCTGATAATGGAGCTTTCTGGCGTTCCCTGTATGAAATGCCTACCTTTGAAGAAGATCTGGAGACTCTGTGGAAGGAGCTGGAGCCACTCTATCTAAACTTGCATGCTTATGTTCGAAGGGGTCTATATAATAAGTATGGCTCCAACTATATCAACCTAAAGGGGCCTATTCCTGCTCATTTACTTGGTAAGTAATGCGATTTGACTGCACTCGAGGCTCTATATGGACTTCAGATATTTAGTTTTTTTGATGATAGCAAGGTCACAGGACAGAACCACTTTTCAGCCAGCGTTTCACTTTGGAATCCCAAGTATTCTAACTCTATAGACAAAACTCTCCTTTTATGTCTGAGAGTAGCCCCTTCATATTCTGTCGTTGACTGTAGAAGCGTTTGGATTTTGCCAAGATTTAATTTGCTTTCAGGGGCATCAAGCGTGAGATTGTGTGTGACAGTTCCACATGGTCAGGGATTGGAGCGACTCACAGTCCTAAATCCCACTTGGTTAAACACTGGCACAGCCGATGACCTTCTACCTGACTTCTTAAGACTAAAAATATGGAACATGAGTACTGTTTTTTCTCTTTTTCAGGCAACATGTGGGCACAGACGTGGTCTGGCATAATGGATTTGGTCATACCCTACCCAGACGCTACACAGGTTGACGCCACCCCAGCCATGGTGCAGCAGGTGAATCGATGCATGAACCAGCCGTTGCTTTAAAGCCATTACTGCACACTTCCAAATCCAAGGAAGCATGCAGAAAACATATGCAAGCATCTTTTCTTACAGTCTTTCTCATTTCTCTCACTCAGGGATGGGATGCCATCAGAATGTTTCAGGAATCTGACAAATTTTTCACCTCACTTGGTTTGGAGCCAATGCCGCCGGAATTCTGGAGCAAATCTATGCTGGAGAAGCCGTCTGATGGACGCCAGGTGGTGTGCCACGCCTCTGCGTGGGACTTCTATAACCGAAAAGACTTCAGGTTGAGCCTAACTTTTTTTCCCTTCAAGGTAGAATCAAGAGACACGTAGCAGCCTGGAAGCCTTACCAAAATCTTACAGAATATCAGTCAAATCTCAGAATCTTTATATGATACTTAACAAAGGCACTCCCCGAAGAAGCCTGGTAATGAAATGGGATGGCATGTACGAAAAACTTTTATAGTCTTCTTCTTTTCACGCATGTTCAGCTAATGTAAGAGCCTCATTTGCTTCACTAATACGGTTGGTTTAGAATCAGCAGCTGCCCTAACATGCTGCTCCACTGTGGCATCCACCTCAAATCTTCTCCAACCTTTGCTCATTTCTAATATAATTTCCAAACTGTTGGAGATTATATCATATGTCTCTTTCCAGTTTGACCTCAAAGAAAAACTATTGGCTCTGAGAAGGCAAAGATAGGCATGGCTAAGTAAAAGGGTATTTTTGTATTACTTTGGATATTGTTTTAGCAGAACATGTCAACTATATATGTTTACTATGTCTGTTATTAGTATTATTTGTGTGAGGTGGAGTCATGAGTTTGTCTTTGAAACATTTTCATAATTTGCTCTAATAATTTCTTTGTTTGCTTCTCCAGGATCAAGCAGTGCACTGTTGTCACAATGGATGACCTGATCACCGTGCACCACGAGATGGGCCACATTCAGTATTTCCTGCAGTACAAAGACCAGCCCGTGTCCTTCCGTGACGGAGCCAACCCCGGCTTTCACGAGGCCATTGGAGATGTACTTGCCTTGTCTGTGTCGACACCCAAACATCTGCAGAGCATCGGCCTCCTGGACAAGGTTGAGAACAACTATGGTGAGTGATGTTTGCAACAAAAGCAAAATCTTCGAATGCATGTTGCTGTATTACAGCATATGATTTTGGCATTTATAAACACCTCATTTAGAGAGTGACATCAACTTCCTGATGAGCATTGCACTTGACAAGATTGCCTTCCTACCTTTCGGCTACCTGATGGACCAATGGAGGTGGAAGGTGTTTGATGGACGCATCCCACACACCGAGTACAATAAAGAATGGTGGAACCTCAGGTAAAGTTTATATCACAGAAAATGCATTTATTGCATTCATAGATGATGGTTCACTAAGGAATTATAACAAGCATGCATGCCTCTTTTCTTTGCATTGCAGATTGAAGTACCAGGGATTGTGCCCACCTATAACACGCACTGAGGAGGACTTTGACCCAGGTGCAAAGTTCCACATCCCAGCTAACGTTCCCTACGTCAGGTAAGGCTTTCTGATTCTCAAGAACAAACACATGTGATATTTTATCACTGATAAGTGATAAATGATTCAATACTCACCACCTCATCATCATCGATAAGATAAATATGCTGTGGAACACAACACGATCTTACTATTGTGCAGTAGCACAACTGTACACTGAGCATAGTGCTGACCCTACTTTTTTTTATCATCTTCAATCAGGTATTTTGTCAGCTTCATCATCCAGTTTCAGTTCCACAAAGCTCTGTGTAATGCTGCCAAGCATAATGGACCTTTATACACCTGTGACATCTACCAATCCAAAGAAGCTGGAAAGCTCTTAGGGTTAGTACGCACACTTACACACACGCAAGTGGAGATGCTCATATGTATGCTATTTTTTTGTTTTCAGCACTGGCAGTTTAATTGTTTATCCGAGACATCCTTATTAGTTATCCTAGTCTTCTCTGACCTTCTCTCTAACCTTTCTATTGCTGTTTTCAGTGATGTAATGAAGCTGGGCTTCAGCAAGCCCTGGCCTGAGGCTATGGCTATGATCACTGGCGAGTCCAAAATGAGTGCCCAGCCACTCATGGAGTACTTCCAGCCTCTCATTGAATGGCTTGAGAAGGAGAACAGCAAGAACAATGATGTTCGCGGATGGCCAGATTACGACTGGAAGCCTTTTAGTATGTTAACAGAAACACATACATGTATTCACTCATCAAAACTTTGCTAATAAGTTTTCCATAGTCAAGGCCAAAAGTTTCTGAACACCTACTCTGAAAAAAAAAAAGAAACACACATGGGACTTCTTTGTGTGTGTGTTTCTCCTCTGCTGCAGCTGAAATGAATCTCCTAATCATTTTGTTTTACAATGCACAAGCTCTGACTGAATTGATAAAAACATTACCAAGAAAGTGAAAGAAAGGCCCTGGTAGGGATAGTGTAGAAAAGTGAACACATCTCTTATTGGAGAGATTAAATTATGAAACCAATAACTAGATGCAAAACTAAATGAATTAGTATGGAAATGATTTTTAATGCTTTTTAAAAGTATTAATTTCATTATTATTTTTCATTATTATTATCTGAAACTAGTACCGACACAGAAATGTTGTTACACATGTGCATTGTTACTCACAGAACAGCAGTTTTCTAATTAAGACATATCAGCCTGCGCCACCTCTTGGTATGAAGAGGAATAGCTCTTGTAAATACCTAGCTACAGCTGGGCCTCTTGTTTAAGCAGCTTTTACTGATCTCTGTAGATGGAAACGTATCTTCCCCATAGCTTTCCAAAATAAGCACAACAAGAAGCCATTTGAAAATGACTGCACACGTACCCTTTATGTTTTAATTGTTTAGTGAAAAACAACCATTTAAACATGTTTGTATCCCCAACAGGTGAATCTCCGACAGGTGAAGCTAAAACAGTGGATTTCCTGGGTTTAAATGTGAACAGGTCGGCTGCCATAGCCGGCCAGTGGATCCTGTTGGCCCTCGGCGTGCTGCTATTGGTGGTCACCATCCTTATGGCCTACATGTACAGGAAGGCAAGAAAGCCTGAAAAGTCCTTGTCTACTATGGAGCTGAAGCAAAAAGATTAGCCGTGTTTGAAGACTGAACGACGAGAGTGAAGCCTGACTTACTGTAGCTGGCACAATACCAACCTCAATGTGAACATCAGTGTTTTTTGTGTACTGCACAACATCTGAACAAATTTGCTCCTCATGTTTTGTCTGCCTACCAAGTTTTTCATATTTATTGTATACACAAAAACACAAAATTCCTTACTTGCCTATGCAAAAGAACACATGCAATTTTTTTTTGTAATTTATTTGTAAGCTTTGATGTTAAAGAAGGAAGAGTTTTAAAATGAAAATTTGTAAAGTCATTCATTGTGTAAGTGTTTCTGAATATTTGATTTTTTTTCTAATAAGTTGAATCCTCAGCATTTCTACAATAAAGACATTAAATATTTATTCTGCCTCTGGAGACGTGACATGAATGAATTACAAAAGTTATTAAAAACAATTTCATTACAATAAAAAAATGCACAGTAACATAAAAAAGGCAACACCACACGATGAAAAAAAATAAGAGCTTGTGCACTGTTTTCAGCCCTTCCCTCTTTACTCACAGAGTCAATACAACCTCTTTAGTGGCTACAGTTGCACAACAGAATACAGTACCTGCAGGCTCTCAGGTAACACAGACTGGAGCAGTAAAGCAACACTTAGTCCCATCAGAGACTGTTTAATAACAGGCTTATAACAGCAGTCTATCATTGGTCTTACAGGTTTACCTTAACGGGGGCCACAGAGGCCTAGAAACAATCCAAGAGAAGGCTTACTGTCTTTTAAAAATACAAAGCTCAATGAGTGAGAAAAGAAATTCATTAAAACAGTCAATTTAACCCAACTTGTTACTATATACAATTTATACGTACCTATGTATGCTGGATCGTAAAGTCTCCACATAGACATCATCCTACTAAACTAATCCAGTGTTGTGACTCCCTGTATGACATTCTTTAGATATGTATGTTAATGTATTAGCCTAAGATGATGTAATAAATAATAGTCAAGTTTACTCCCTGACTAAATCAACACACAGACATGAAGCTATTGCTTTTCAACTTGTTACAAACCTGCTTTCGGCGTTCACTGCTGTGGAATTCAATGCAGGAAATTACAGTGCATCCGCTGGGGCTGTTTAAAGTATTACAAGTATTACTCACCTATAAGTACAAATCCTGTTTCCCTGAAACCAGGCAAACAATGCAAGTACATAACCTGAACAATATATAATGTCACGTTCTGCATTTGAGGCTAGCGCCAAAACCATTCCAACGCAAAGTCAGGGTACATTTGATGTGAACATTCACTTATAAGAGAGCGGCTGCTGGTCATTATGTTCTAAGTGTAGGGGTTGAAAATGATCTACAAATCAACTTATCTTGATTTAAATCCCTAACAGAGTCACTGACTCCTGACCACAAAGTGATAGAAGCAGAAAGGACATTTACAATCACAGATTAGATATATACACTCAGATTAGATATGGAAATAGGCACGGTGTGAAACAGCACAACAAATGACCAGCAACATTTCTCAGAAATTTTAGGGAAAAAAAAGATATAAAAAATACACATACAGAAAAAAATTTCAGTACATTAGCTCCTACAACACAATCAAAACCAGCTACTTTTGTATGCGACACAGCTTCTAATGTACAAAGTACATGCGCATTCACAAGCGCTTAACAAGTTACAATCTCTGGAACAAAATGTTCAGTGTATTGCACAAAAAAAGAGTCTATAAAAAATAAAACCATTAAAAAAAATGAATGCACTATCCACAGTTGGTCCATGTTGGTCCACGTGGCTCAGTCTAGCCCAGGGTTTTTTGGCCTCTTGACACTGAGCAGTTCAGGGTTTAAAACAAAGGCCTCAGTAGTAGTAATGCTGCATCTCTGTCCAACTTGTGATCCAATACTTTTTCTGTGGCTCCTCGGGCTGAAACCCCAGATTGAACTGATAACGCTCAGCCCTGCGAATTTTCACTCCCTGGTGCTTTGGCATTATTCTGTAGTAGATGGCTCGCTTGAAGAAGCCAAGCTAGCAGGAAAAAAAAAAGAAAGGAAGAAGGTGACATTAAAAAGTTTGAGAGCTGAGTTTTTTAATGGCTTAAGAAGAAGATTTAGGATTTAGAAGCTGAGTAGATTCACGCTGACAGAGACAGAAATACGCACTACCCTGCTGATTAAGGGAGGATTCACATTCACACACAACTTGGGAGTGATGTCACTTTCAAGGTGACTGCATTCCAGTTGTAAAGTTGGAAAAGCACATAAAAAAATGTTTTTGTTCTGCTTCTTAGCAAGGTAGAGCCATTCATTCATTTATTTAACCAGTCATAAATACAAAACAGTGGCAGCAGAGATCAAATGTTTTACATTTTTGCTACTGTTTTTTCTTCACTGCCACCATCTTGT